TGTGTATTTTTATATACAAGTCGTCTCAATCTGCGTAATAGTACATTACGCAAAGGAATTAGCTAATCAAAATAATCATATTATATAGCAATAGGAACGGTTGGTATGTATTTGAGCATGCATTTGATAACATTAAGGCTTTCGTTTTTATTTAAACAATACTTGATTGCCAGTATATATAAAAATGAAACTTGCTGCTATGAAAAACCAATATGCCCTGTCCGCGAGACGCTATGCAAAAGAGAGGGCGGAGAACTGCTACAAATAATTTGTAATAATTTCCAACAAAATTTCGATGTGAAAGCGAATCACATAGAGTCCATACAAAGTTTTGAAATAAATAAAAATAATAGCTTTCTAACGAAAAAATAAATTTTTCCCCTTTTAACATTTCAAATACGGTAACAACGAACAAAAAATACCAGAAACAACCACAATAGCATAATAACAGAACGATCCATGGGTCTATTTCGTGTCCAATAAGAACGCCAAGAGCCGTTATGACGACTGGCGTTGGAAGTCTGAGTAATATTTTTCGCATGATTTTGGGCGAAATATTTTAAATCGAAAAGTTCGCATGAATATATTCATTACATCAAAATCATTTCATATTACCAATTTTTACAAACAATTTACACAAATACGGATCGAGCGCGAACGCCGTGATAAACAACCCTTTTATAAGCTTTTTCTCTAGTGAAACACATATAACCAGAGCATAACCTATCCTATAAATTTTAGATGACTCTCTGAAATAAACAATCACTGACTATCAACAAGAATCATTACGTTTCCGAACTTAACAAAATTGATATCGATTTGATGCATTTGAATTTCTAAGCGAGAAAATCGGTGATATAAAGGAAAATGCTGTCCCAACGAGAACATATAAATAACAGTATTTCACACAATCAACTTCTGGTGAAATAAAGATGATTGTATCATAAATATTAGCTTTGACGTTCTGCTAATATCATACCGCTTAAACATTTATAATAAAAATACCCTGTTTACCAAAAGTATTTTTATATAGCAATGGTAAGAGAGGTAGTTGTTGTCCACCAGTCCTCAAATGCAAAGTGATTTTTATCGGTCATTAATGAATTTCAAACATTTTACAAATTGGGTGTGGAAATTCTGGAATTATAAATCGCAGTCCGATGCTTGGCGGTACAGAAAATTCAAGGTGTATTCCTGCTAACGTCAATAATAATTGATAATGATAACAACGAGAATATCGGTCAGAGACCGAAGACTTATCGATCGAAAGTTAGGGGATCCCTCGAAACAGCGCTCTTATTCCATCCATAGTGACACCTTGTGTCCCATCACTAATTAATTAATAACTCGCTAATTATACGACAAAGTTGTCCCAAAATCAATAGGCTTTGGGTCCGAGATAAGATGAATGCACATGCAAAATCTGGAGCAGATTCAATCTCGCTTTCGTGAGATATCGCGTGCATCTAACAGACAAACAGACATACAGACATACATACAGACAGACAAATACCTATCAACATACTTACCGATAAAAATCGATAAGTAATAAGTAAAAAATATGTAATGAAATGAGAACACAAGGTTGCACGACATGAAGATTGCATTTCACGAGTTTATAACAGACACCGTTGTTACTTCGGACACCAATACAAGTAGATTACATACTTCAGATGCATTTTTACAATGTATTTTATCACTAATTATAAAAAAAATCATTTGAATTAATTCCAGATCTGATGGGCGTATAAAATTCGTAATTGTTTAAATAAGTCGTCATGGAAACGGAATGATACCTCTAAGTCGCGGTATCATACTACTAGTAGCAGAGAAAAATGGTTTAGAATTTAGATAATGATAATTCTTATGAGGATCATATTTAGGAAAATTGACTGACAAAGACATCAGACCACCGTGTTGAGAATCGATTATCATATCAAATGACGGTTTACATTCACCGTTACAAATTGGAAGCCCTAATGAATTTTCTATTTCGATATAATCTGAAGACGTAACAATATAAACAAAGACAATAAAGACGTTTGAACGATTGGTTGTTGGGAGCATAGAATATCTTCAGTTGTACATAGACATTTTATTTAAAAACGTAAAAATATAATTGAAAACAAACTTTTTATATCTTCTACGGAGGGACGCCAAGCAAGTCTTGTTGAAAGCAAAATCATACAGAAATAACAATCATTTTCTCGATAACATACCTCGCTAATATTATATCATGCCAAGACTGAATGTTGACTACCAAATGACAGTTTGTTTCTCCGTTATGAAGGGATACACACGGGAGTCAAAGTTATGGCAATTGACTTGTGATATCATCGAAACAGAACCAACGTAAATTTGCGAGTAATACTACAAATAGAAGTAGCATATCTTGAATTTTTATTCATCATTGGTTTTCTTCAAGAAGTTAAGGCTAGCCATCAGTATCTTTCAAACCAACAGCAATTTAACAGCCAATTATGTCGGGAATTGGTAACTTGATCTCAAATTTTTATTGATGTAAACAAATACTTTGGGGAGATTAGAGAATATTTTTCTATCACCATTATGATATTTGGGACACAATGAATATACATTTTTGTCTGTTATTTGTAGCGATCAACAAATTAGTATTTTGGCGAATTTTCTATTTTTTTTCGAGCAAATGAACTGAAACTTTCTATATTCCGTTTTCTTCCTCTATCATTAGGAATTGAAGTCTGAATATTTTGATGATCCGATATTCGATTTAGTAATCAGTGGTTCTTAACCTATTTTAAGTTTGTGGACCGGTAAAATGTCAAAATATTTCTGCGTACAGCGCGGTGGAACTTCAAAATCAACCCAAAATGTCAAAAATACGAAACATAATTAAACGAATATAATTATGACAAAGGCACGCTATTCAAAAGCAGACAATTCAATTTATTAATTAGAAATTTACTGATGTCTTTTCGATATCATACGTGTTAAACGCGGTTTCAATGAAGTTTCTGCAGGGCGAAGTAGAGAGTTGACTTCCACGCGATTTCTCTATTTGGTTTTGATTAAAGATAACGATTAAAGCTTTTCTAACATAAGTGGGTTGTAAGCAACCCCCGGATCAAGTTTGGTCCACGCATCAATAGGAGGTAAAAATCACAAAATAAAGGGCAGACCAACAATGCCTTGCATTTTGAAATATAATATTGGAATTATTAGGCGGTACGGCAGGAAGGTTGACGTGGACCATTTAGTTGATATAATATAAATGAAAGTTCTAAACGTAAAAGAGAGTTACAAGCGATTTTGGTGATTTAATTCACACATTTCGTAGTGGAGGTGAATTTCTGAACTACGGAATTACAAATTTAAAATTATATTTAAAAATACCAATTCTTCGTCAAAACAAGATAACATATCAGATTGGCTGGAAATAAGAAACAAAGCTGGCATACACAAACACAAATCCTTGATTCAACAAGTATCAACTTATCAGATTCAGCTACTTTTCCAATAACAACACATACATCCCAGCATGAGGTTACTCTATTGTTGAAGCTATTAGCTACAACAACATTAACAAAATCAGTATCAAGAATTATTCACAAATCTTTCCCGTCGAGCACGAATTGTAAATAGGATACGCACGATTCTAACAACACAAAAGAGGTTTTTTAAAGTTTTAGTGCAAAATGTTTAATTGAGAGAAAGGAAATCTTCTAAAAAAACTCTCGACATTGGACACTGGCAAATACCTTCCAAAGGCGTGATAATGATCCTAAAAATGACACAACGAGTGATAGCCAATATGCAATTCTTTTTGGGAAAGCATTCATAGATATTTTCGCTCTGTGTATTCGCGTTATCCAATAATGACAAATGTTGGATATCTACCTACCTTTATATCGTTGTTATAGCGATATTTAAAACAAAAAAGCTCAAACTTGTCATTATTGGTATTTTATTTTTAAATTTTTGTTATATGAAATGTTTGGAGTAATGTAACTGTCTCGGTATTTCTGTAATGAAGCCATAAAAGTAATAATAATGCTAACCATGGTCTAAAAAGGTTCGTATAGGCAAATATCATACGTATACAGATCTTAACGGTTTAAGGTTTTTATTATTCGTATAATTATAACATGCATCGAATAAGACATCATCGGTCGCGTCTGCGCCTGACTCTATAGACTCAACGTTTCTTTCGTGGTTTCATCTTGTGAATTAATTGAGACAGCTGCATTATATCATCCTTATTTCTCCTATATACCGAAACATGCTTCGCGGCAAACAAGTAGCAAAGAGAGCGTAGATAGCATTCGATTTAACCTAGTGCGATGAGAATGTGAGAATTAATATTTATTCAAGCCATGTATGATAAAGGTATGCTTTTACTTTAACCGTTAGAATTATTGTAGAGAATGTAGAAACAGAAATGTAATTTTTGGCCCTGACCTATTTTTGGATTATTATTCTAGAATCTAGATCATTCTGTATGTCTGACTATCTGTCTGGCTGTATGTATGTGTCTGTCTGTCCACCTATCGGTGTGTATGTCTGTCTGTCTGTTTGTGAGCGAACCTGCTTTCATCTCTATAACCATAAAGTGGAGAAGCCTTGGGAATTTTAGAGAACATCTAATTATTGGCCTCAGTGGGGTATATCACACACGCAAAGATATCGACAAGACGCGTAGCTTTCAAAATGAACTGACAAATGTGATGGCTCGGTCACAAATTACCGTTACACTTATAAATCCACAAGTTTACATGAATGATTCCGGGTGACTGGGCGACGGGCCCCAAATATCAGCGGAGATCCTAGGCGCCTACCTCCTGTTCATATATAAATAAATATACCAGTATTTTCAGACGTAAATGAGATTTGATGTTAATGAAGGGTTATGGAGGATGTGTGATATAGTCTATTGATATAAAATCTACTATATATGCATTGAGAGTGAACATTTAATGAAAAAAATTCCCCTTTTTCTCTAGGTGCTAGACTACTAATGGTTTCCGGCATCTTTCATATAGTACTCCTTGTTTTTGGTATTTTATCAGCGGTAAAATGAGAAAACCTTTTATTGGAATGGTAAGACATGGATTATATTGGATTATACCTCTAACTACTATTTTAAATCGCAGTACTTTTATAACTCTATTCATTTTACGGCATAACACTGTGTTGCATTTCGTACAAGGTGTAATATAAATCTGTTCTCCATCTGGGTGGGTGAGTTTCTTTTGATTTCTATTGATGAAACAACTTTTATGAAATAGAGTAGCCTGCGGTGTCAAGGGGTCATATAAAAATCCTTACACATATATGTTGATTGGTTCAGTTGCCAATTGAAGAGTTGCAATTTACATTCCTTCCAGTGTAAACCACTACCATTATATCTGCTATTCAGATACCTGATAAACCGGACTATAGCGAACACAATAAAATTGGAAGAGGTTGTGTCGGTGGTGCATTACTTATTGAGGTGAGAATTTAGAGGGCATTGACGAATTATATTGTACATTGTAGCACTAACGTAGTTTGATTGGTGTTTAATTAAGATCCAAACTATATTCTGAACTAAAAATAAGACAGTAATAATAATGAGATGAATCACCGACATATTTAGTAGTTGTTTAATTGCAATTTTTCCAAAGGGAATTATGTTAATATTTCAGGTAATTGGCCTGGGTTTTTGGCCCTGTATATGGACAAAGGCGAAGACTGATGATGATGAATGATTGCGAACGAGGCAAATGTGATTATGCATATTTACGTGCACTACATTAAAATATAAAAGAGTGCCTATATGAAATACAAGCATAATCACTTTTTTGTCAAATTCGGAAGACTATTCATTTGAGGCGGGAGTGTGACCTATATATGAAATACAAGCATTATCACATTTGTTCCTTAATAGTAGTCAGTGTAGTTGTAGTCACCAAAGATATCTTTTATTTTCAAAACCGATCCGATACGAAAACCGACCCGATATAACTTACATATATATATATATATTCGTTTACATTAACAAAAGGCATTCGTATAATGTGAGTTTAATATGTTGCTTTCTCAGGAACACTCATGCTTGTAAAACAGCATATTTTTGCAGTACTAGATGATCTAACACTGAGGAATTAGGGCATTTTCAACTAAGTTTTGCGATATCAAGGGTAAATTTGATGAATTTTCAAATTAAATCAGATTTTAACTTCTTGAAGCTTAGCGGTATATTTGAAACGTAAAAATAATGAATAATTAAGGATGAAACGCGAATGATGTCAGAATTTTAAAACGACGCCGCTCGTTTGAATATGTAGGTTTTCCAGGTTTGATATATAACAGCTTTCTCAGACAAAAGGACAAAAATTAACAATTACTCAAGTTGATTTTTTTTCAACTTGTAGAGCACAATCCCATTAAGTAGAGATTGTAGCTCAATAAGAAAAAACAAAGCCTAACATAATCATTAATCCGACACGAGCCTTACGAGTACGTTCCACTCGCTACTTGTATTTCAAGGATCTAAAAGATTCTGAAAAATCATCTCAGAAAACACTTGATCAAAACAGTACATGTGCTATTGTGTCACTCTCCATGTTGTATTTCAAAATCAATGTTATGCTTGCATTTATATTGCATTTGCACATTTTGGTTTTAAGAATTCGTTTTGCACAATGTTGCTTCAATTCAAATATAAACATTAAAAATTATAATCTTTGATGGAAATCTGACTATCAATTATTTTTCCAGGTAAGGCCAAATATAGAAAAACAAGAATACGGCTTATGTGGTTTTAAAACTAGACAATACTGGGCGAGGCCGTTGTTTTCCCAACAAACAATAGTTTCGTTGCTTTCTGCTCGCAGTGTTTTGATAGATTAATATTTATATATATTTTCTTATAATAATCAGAAATGTTTCTTACTTGCACATTGAGAACTTTTACAGTATGGAGCAATGGAATAATGTTGATGGTTTTTCAAAAAGCCCTTTTTGAATGAAATCGTATATACAGCATAGTAAATTTGTGAAGATTTCGTAAATTAAAAAAAAAATGATGCGCTCTCCAAACTTAGAATAAGGAAAATTTGAAAACAAATGTCGAGTAGACTGATTTGAAGAATATGCTACTGATTATGCTATTTAATTCCCAAATATACACTACTTTATTTTAAGCTGAAACTGAATTTGAGGAGTGTTGTTTTTGGCCAAGACAATTTTGAATTTCAATAAAAATTAGCAAACGACTAAACGAGTTTAGGAAATTATAAAATATCATGAATTTGAGTGAAAAAAATAAATAATAAATGATAATACTAGATAAATAATGAATGGTGCAGTCAGTCGAACTCAAAAATAATTTATACAAGCACTTTTCGTTTTCAATCTAGTGGCTAGATTAGTCGTTCTTACTGGCCCACCTAAGTTGGGTAAAAAATCTGACGCTTTGCCCACTTTGAAATGTTATCTGCTGTAGTTTATAGCAACAAAGGTGCAACAGAAATTCGAACGCCATAATAAAAATGATCACGCAGAATATTTAGATATAAGCAATCTGTTTGCTAGCATTTTCGATATTCTGAAATTTGTTCTTTGATGTATTGTTCTCCCATCCCTAGCAATATTTCGGAAAATTGAAATTTTAACATAAACACGACATATGCCTTATGAACATATCGAAAGCTGATTTTTACCGCGGCGGAAATATACACTTTTGTGTTCAATCGATGCTATTAAATTTCAAGTTTTGAAACCTCGACTTTCCAGTTGAGTGATTTAATGTGTTAGTACATATAACTTTTCAGCAACGAGTTCGCTCGCGGCTATTGTTTTCCCTCTTGCGCCAACGATTTGGGATTCAGATATTTTCGCTTTTGTAGTATTTCAGTTGGAAATACATCAAAACATAAAAATGAATAAATTCGACAATATTTGCAAACTACAATTTACAATATCATACATAACCGAACTCTTTGCCGCAGACAAGATTTCATTTTACGATGTAATTAGTCTAAACGGCCATTCAGTCAGCTTTTTGCCGCATAAATGTGATCATATCCCGACAAAATAATAATAAATATCCCGAAACAAAAAAAATACCGATAAATACACTCTAGATACCGAATAATCAATATACTCACTCTGGAATTAGGCTCTTGTCCCAATAAACTACATGCCGAGTTCCTGATGCCCCTTGTAAAACAAAAACCGACAACAGAGAAATGACAATTTGTTTATCCATTTTGTCCAATCTTTCTAAAGTTTTTTCGAGTATGATTACTCACAGTATGAGGATTACACGTATATATTAACACTTATCGAGTTATAACCCGCTAAATCTCTATTCTTAAAAAAAAATCAAAATAAAAAAAAATCAGGTGATACATACTTTGAAAAACCTTTAAAACGTATCCTATTTAAATCAAACATTTTACTAAACTGGAATACGCGAAAGATAACAAAAATCAAATTTCAGTTGCTTTTTAATTTTTCTGCCACTATTACTAACCATCAGCTTTTATCGACTAATTAATGTGAAAACGTACGGAAAATAATTTCTTGTCGCTCTGGCTATAAAAGTTATTTTTCAACAAATAACATTGTCGTACGTCACATCAGTCAGATTTATTTTAATGCCAGCCACTAAATATAAACACTTTACTTTCTGCGTAAACTTTTTGTTGAAAAATGAAAGAAAAGTGCGAAAATTGAAGACGAAGTTTATGGCGTGTTTATGCAAAACAGAACAGTGATATAGAGATAACTTTCAATACGTTCTAGCTTAACTTTGATTATAAAACGTGTCCATTGGAGCTAATATTCCAAGAAACAGGAAAAATTTATATATTTCGCCTATTTTATTCATTTCAGAAATGCTACAATCTTAAGATCATTTTCCTGATATTCGAATAACACGCTAATTTGCTTATCTTATCAAGCCAATAAACAAATTGTACATAGCAACTGACCATGTATTTTAAAATAAAACAATGTGGCCTTTTTGGGGAAAGCATACTAAATTTATAAAGTTTCGAGTAAGTTGAGCGCCGAGACGCCCTATACTACATTGTCATTGCCTCCAACACAACCTGACGTCTTCGCTACAATGTCTTCGATGCCATGTTTAGTCACTTCTTTTGTACATTTGTTAACAGTGCACTTAAATGAATACAAGTTAGCTAAACATACAAAATTTACAACTTTCAACTTACAAAAATATTTTTAGAATCTTTCCTACGCAATTTTTTGATGATTTCTACTATATCCTTGTCAGTTACATTGTTGTCTTGAACGAAACAGTCGCAAATAATTGTTGCGAAAGAAAAAGGCACAAAATTATATCAAATTTCCAGATCAGATTTTGCTATAATTTTACACTTTCATGACATCTAGCGGGACTTCTTAGTGAAGGATATCAAGCAACATTGATGTAACAAAAGGAATTTGTCTAGTAACTTATAGAAAACAAAATGCTTAGAAATAAAGTTTGATAAACTGGATATGCATTTTCTGAGTTCCAGGCACTTGACAGATTGATAATGATCGCTGTTTCCGACCTTGAGAAAAAGAGAATATCAATTAACCAAAGTCTCATTACAGCATGCATCACTTTTAATTTTTACATTTCGACAATCGCACATTCAAACTTATACTTAAATTATCCTAAAATTAATTGTCGTCTTCTATATAAAAATATTACATTTACGGTTCGGTATAGCTCATTTAACTTATTATCACAACGTGGGTGGTCTGGCGGACCACTAGACTGATCCAACATTCAGCATGAAGATGACATCATTGTTCGACTGAATACGTACTCGACTAACCAAGTGTAAAATGAATTTTTCAACGTACATACTAACTTTTCAAAGTAGACTTGTCAAATATTGCATGTGTAAAATTAGATATTCGAGTGTTTTTTAGACCAATCTCTGCCTAAAAAAACGAAAGTACAATAATTACTATTGCGTGAATGCATTTCACGTATTGAATTTCAGCACCAAATGCTATTGTCTTTCAACTGTTTTTCATACGAACTAACTCGCATTTGTACATATTTGTTATATAATTTATGATCATAATACCATTAAGTACGAAGTAATTTTTTACAGCCCAAGACATGGATGGAACAAATTTTAAATTTGAAAAGAATTTACTCTGCAAGGAATTTGAGCAGAAGTTTTTGATTTTCAAACCATCGACATCTCTGCGCGGATACCTCCAATTTAAGCTAAACCAGCAAAGTTAACAAATAACGTTATTTTATTTTTGATGCTCAATTTCTTTTAAAGTAGCCCAAAACTAAAACCAACTAACCTTGTAAATTCGGTAATAGCCCGGTAATGACCTTGGTCGTTACTGTGTTTTGACATTTGAAAAAAAATAAAGTCCGTGACTATCACCCACTTTTGAAAAAATTCACAAACATTTCATCGTCCGAAACTTTGAATTTGAAATATTAATTCCTTAAAAGCTGGAGTAGTTTAGGCTGTTCAATGTTCATGTTTCTTTCGAAGAAAATCCTTCACTCGAATAGATATTGCTAGTGGAATTGGTCATTTAAGTTCTACTTCATTCAACAATGTTTTTGTATACATTCATTAATAATATATAATGGCCTCGGTCATTACCATACCATGCAATAGCAAAAACAAGAAAACAAAACATACTCCTATAACTGAAAAATTGGAGGTACCACCCTGGTTTACCTATTTCAGCAAAGTTGTGAACAATAAATAACCGATTTAGTTAAATTAGTGTCCGTTTTTACATTATATTCGAACGCGTACACTATTCTTAACATCAATAAAAATTATCATTTCTCAATTATATGGATCATTAATTTTAATATGATATCGGTATTCAACGATGCCGAACATTGGCATTGTCAAATTGGTTACAAATGTATTGGAGTAATCTTGTTGATTAACGTTTTGTTTAATCATCAAAAGATAACAAATCTCGTGAAAGGCAAATTTTTCATTTTTATCTGAAAACGATTCTTTGTTCGATTAATTTACAGATAATAAAACAGAACCTAATAATTTTTTCATTACTTTTACGAAAATCACGAAAAAGTAGTCAACACATGAACACGGGAACCTATGTTCGCATAATTGTACCAAAAAGTTTTAAGAACGCATTGCACAGAAGTTATATACAATATTCAAATAGTGAATCGAAAATGATGTAAATGAACACAATTGTCAAAATAGTTGAATTTTGTAATCAAGATAGAATGTAGAACCAAGGAAGTTCTCCGATAATAAGCGACCTGTCTACATGCTGCTTGGTTAGATACCAAGAAAATAACTAACAAGATAAATAGTAGATAATACGATTGTTAAGTTGCCTCAGCTTTTAATTTAACGGTATGCTTATGTACAAATGGTACACGTTTCTGCAAACTAGTTTGATGTGAAGATAAAAAAAAAAAATTTCATGCCAATGCTAACTATCTCTTACAAATTGTGCCCTTTATTGAAAACTTCGAATCTAGGAGAAAAAAAAATTAACAATGGCACTGTGCCGACTAATCTCAACGGCACACAAACAATATCATGGTACATCTGCGTTATTAAGCATATAAATGGTGGGATTAAACTTAGCCTTGGTTTTGGGAAGTCTATTTACAGTCAAGCCATTCTGGTATTTTTTGAAATGTTTCTTATGGTATAAGAACGGAAATATATAGGAAATTCTCAGATAAAGTGGTCTCGGACAAAGAGTCCCACTATTTACCACCGAAACATTGGTAATGACTTTGATATTCAATTTCAGTTAAACTTAAAAATATGTGAAAAGAAAGACACTTATCCGAAAGACAAATACACATTCTGTGTGTTCTGACACCTGCACATTTCACCAATGTCAATGTTTACCCGAAAAAAATATATTGAAGAATAAAATGACTATTTGAACACTTACTTCAATATGGCGTCAATAACGTAAGCAAACATCATGTTTGGCCTAATTCATACTTAAAATACCTTGAAGCCGATTCATTGTCAGCTCTGAATTCAGTACTAATTTGTTATTGTTTGTGTCGACTATAACCTATTGCCACAGAATGCTTCAGCCATTTTGTTTGAATTTCATATCAAGTTAAATTTCATTTAATTAAATGTGTCTTCATCGTTCCATTTGAACGGCTACCCTTTTCCATTAGTTCACAACATTTGACAATCACTATACGGAAATAAATTTGGACATGCTACAATTTATATTACAAGTCCAGATTGCCTGTATGCTTCTCTACAAATTGAACAAAAAGGCGATACGCTTTGTTGCACATAATTTATTACGAATTCAAGATAAGCAGTGGTGGACATCCGTCATAATAATTGTACCCCACTGATTAAGAGTAAAGTAGCTCATAACTGATAAAAAGAATTGACCTTTTGACCTCAGTTTGGTGATAAGTTGATCCATGTGGGATTTGTTATATAAACAGTAAAGCACTAAATGAAAAAACGGGTTATTTACTCTATATACACAATAAGAAAAGAAAATTCCTTTCCCGCCAAAGATACTTATTAGTGCGGACAAGCTGATACAATTTGTCAGTACTCACTCTCGCAATTTATGATAGAATGAATCCGAATTCTACCTAATTCACTCCGAGTTACCTCATAAACAGATTAAACACAAGGCAAATGGATCCCACAAAACGTTATGAAACATATTTCTGTTTCGGTATCATTCGTGTGCGTCAAAAAATATATGTATAACTGCTGCCTTTCAAATACAAGTACCCATTTGTAGATGCAAGACCCTAAGGCTAAACCAATACAAGAATAAAACTTTATTATACCGGATGGAATTGCACAAACAAGGTAATGCTATTTTATGAAGTGTTCAAGTTCGAAAATCTTTTATGGTTTTTGTTTTGCCCAGTGGGAACTTTCAAAACTCTAGAAAGTTACAGAAAGTCTAAATAGCTCGAGAATTTTTGTTATATTTTAAAATAATACAGAACAATTGCCTCAATTCGGAATAACCCACATATAAGAAATTTTCCCGCCGCGATTGACCGCGTAAGACCATCAATGACGTCATTTCAACATCTGCTCCACAAAAGTATTTCGTAAGTATTTTATATATTGGGCTTCATAGGGCGCCAATTAACACCGAATTAAAATAGGATTCGAATGTTACGATATATGAGATTATGACATCATAATCCTGTGAACGATTATAAAGAATGTTTTTCTTCCTAAAATATGACGCATTTATTGACAATGACAGCAGCGTGAAATCGCATTATATAAATTTTAAACTTTTGGAGGTATAGCCTACTAAAGCTAAATTTTTTACAATGTTGACCTGTTCTTCGAAATAAAAC